ACCTACTTACCACTGGCTATCGTGCAGGTCACGGGTTCAACTCCAGGGAACTGTGCAGATACTGTACACAGGTAAGCTGAGGTCAAGGGATCGACCCCTGGGATCTGCATCGGCTACTGCCAAAGGTGAAAACTGTTTCATGCTGGAAAGATGGACGGTACCGGTAAGGGCATATGGGAAACTTTACTGCTGTTTCTCAACGGGCAGCCGGTAGGGGCATACTGAAAATTTGGTACCGGTACCGGTACCGGTAGGGGCATATGAAACATTTTTGAGGCCCAAACGACGCCAGGGGTATTCTGGAAACATCATTCGCCGTCAGAGGGGCACGACAAGGTAAGTCGGCCGCCAGAGGGGCACGCCGCAAATAAACGCAAACTTCAGAGGCATTTCAAAAATTTTCCCTTTTTTTTTTGGGTTTTGTTTTCTCATTCGATTTAAAAAGTTTTAACACTGTATATTATTTCGCCAACCTTGAAATCCACGCCTTTGCAATCTCATTTGTGCGAGGATGTGGCTCCTCGATAGGCCTAAGGGGCCCCTGATGCAAGTGTGCCCGCCCTAAGTGAAGGCGGGCCTAATCACAAGAGGCCCAAGTGCTGTCAATTTCATATGTGGGGTTCAGACAGTTGTGTCGCGTCAGTTGGTTGAGGGAACCCAGGACTCGAGCTGCAAAGAATTTCCACGGCCTTCCAGGCCTTTTTGAAATGCAGGCCCTGGGCAGGATTTGCAGCAACATACACAGACAGTTGGGAGGCCTAACTGAACGAGGCCCCGCAGCTGCAACCGAGGCAAGCTTCTGGGCGCAGGCCCAGCCCAGCCAAGCCGCAGGCCTGACCATAACTCTTCCGTACAGGAAAGAGCTCGTGGCCAGGCACAGCGTACGGGCACTTGCAAGCTAGCGGCAGCGCTGCTGGAGCGGAGTTTCACGGGCTGCCGCTTGCGCCAAGGCAAGGTGCTGCGCACGTGCGGTCGTGTATGAGGGAAGGCGCTGCGGAGGGCAGCGCCATAGCCCAGCCTTCATAGCTGGCTGGGGCTTGGATGTACAGCAAGGCGCAGGGGTGATCTTCGGGTGTACAAAGGGAAGACGTGGGTGAAAGTCGAGGAAGAAGACAGGATGATGATGATGATGATGATGATGATGATGATGTGAGGGCACATACCTGGTATTGGCGGTGGTCTGCATTGGTCGACATCTTCAAGTACTTCGTTGGCTGCTGCCGTCAGCAGTTGCATTGTCAATTAGTAGGCAGATAGTAGCTGTGTAGGGAGTAGGCTGGGCGCCGAGCGCCAAGTAGGGAGAAGGGCCTGGATACTTATGTTGGTGATGGCGAGAGCCAGCTCTCATTGACATTTGGTTTTCAGTGTTACGATTCTCCAATGGTGTTATGTTGGTGCAATGCTACTTTCTGGACACTGGGATACTTTCTGGCTTTCAATGTGATGGTGCAATCTGGATTTTGTCATCTCGCTATTGCTTATTTTCCTTGCATATTTCTTGTTGACCTGTGTTTCTTCTTCTCTATTGCAGGGGACTCAGCATAGATTGAAGCCCCGGAAGAACAAAGGTTGGCTGACTTATATCCGTTGCATTCGTGCTCTTTTATTCAACAATCTTATTTATTTTAAATTAAAATTATTGAGTGATTGATTCGTTCATTCATTCATTCATTCATGCATAACAAACATGAACCACAGGTCCATTGCATTGTGGGGGAGCCTTAGCTGCCCTTCATTTGCTTATTTCTATTTTTTTTTCTTCTTAATTCAACATGATAGACACTAATTTGACCAAATTCAATCTTCCCTTATGAATAGGACATGCAGTGTTAAAATTGGAACAGTACAGAGTAGATTAGCATGGCGGCTGTAAAAGGGAAGAAAAAGGTCACCTCTATCTGTTATTGCGCATGGCAGTTCTTTTTGAATTTTGAAAGTGAGAAAATGGTGGTAAAAATGCGACGGGTTCGAACGGAGCGAACAAACAAACGAAACGAAGACGGGAGCAGGCAGCTTGTTTAGCTGCAAGGTATGCCCGTGAGCTGTTGATATGCAGCCCTGAGTTTGAATCCTGCAGATATAACTCTCATAAAGAAAAGCTGCGACAATCAATGCTGCGGCTCAACTTTTTGTTGAAAGGAGTAGGTAAGGATCACCTCTTCTGAAGTTGCAGTTAAGAAAGGAAATAGAAAAAAATGATTATTTTCTATTAGTATATATAATTTGATTAGTAATTTGATTAGTTTATTTTATACGAGTAAATAAGATAAGCAAAAAAGCACTGATAGCTTGCTTTATGTTTCTCCCTTGGGAAATGGGATCAGGTTATGTTTCTCCCTTGAAAAATTGGGACTGTTTTGTTCTTTCTTGTGCATGTTTGTCTCTTGCAATGCAAGTTTCAAGATTCAACTCAAAATACCACATGCAAATTGAGAGCATTCAGATAAAGCTGACACAAGCTTGAGCGATGACCATGAACAGTGCCATGTGTTGAGTTCCACTCAATGACAATAATAATATAATATACAATTGAAAAAACTTTGGGACTAGGCGGTCAGAACCCCTGCAACACGACTCTGGTAAGCACCCGATTCCTCCCCCTTCAGATCTGCTTCTCTCTTTCTCTCGTTCTTCCTTACTCTCTCTCTCTCTTTCTCTCTTCTCTCACTCGCTACTTGCACTGTTCATTCCTCGATGCTCCCCACTACTGTCCTCGTCCCTCAATGTCCTAGATCTACCCTTAATGCCTTTGCGGTGTGTCTCACAGCGAACGGGCGGCTATGGCCGCCAAACACTTCGTCTCCTCCCTCCTGGCTATGGTGGTCTGTCGCAGCCAGGGCACTGCGCTGCTCTTCTTCCTCCATTCAGTGTTCTTTTTCCTCCAGGTTGCTAGTTTGCACAAGCTCCAGCAGCACTTCCACAAATTTGCGAAATGAACAACTGACTGTTCTCTTGCACTGTAGCCAAAAATATATAGTTGCAGTGGGCTGTGCGTGCCTCTGCTTCAATCGGTACCGGCCTCCTTCGGCCTCTGCCTTGCCAAGTTGCTATTTTGGGAAACTTCCCGACTTTCTGGTGAGGCTGCTGCGAAATTGGACTTTTGGGGACTTGACGTGCACCTACAGGTACTGCAAGCTACTGTAGGCTACTGGCCTGCGACGCCTGATCCTACAGGCCCTAAGATTCTAATCTACGGAGCCTTAGACTGGGATAATTCAGAACCCTGTAACGGGGACAGGGAAAGCTTGCAGCGTAAATCCATTCACTTTTGTCCTCTCTTATGTATACCATTGTTTTGTTTTCTCGGCATATGTAGTAGTAGTAGTAGTAGACTGACATCGGGTGGGTCGTGGAAGCCAGAAGCATGGTGGGTGGACGTCCCCCCCCTTCTAATTTTTCCCATTGTCAAACATGAGGGTGTGATGTGGGTGTGGTGGTTGGGACAGTTCATTTTTTTTGTTTGACCCAAGCCCCCCTCATTCTTCCCGTTCCCAAACACGAGGGTGTGATGCGGGTGTGGTGGTGGAGACAGTTGATTTTTTTGTTTGTCCCAAGCCCTCCTCATTCTTCCCGTTCCCAAACGTACAGGTAAAAAGAACCAGGTCTCAGGGCGTTTCAAACGTAAGGGGGAGAGAATGCGACAGAAAGATTGGGCCAGTAGCGCTCACAGCACTCCAAACGTGAGGGGGTGATGCGGGCGTGGTGGTTGGGATGTTTCATTTTTTGGTCTGACCCAAGCCCTCCTCAATTTTCCGGTTGCCAAACGTGAGGGTGTGATGCGGGTGTGGTGGTTGAGACAGTTGACTTTTTGTTTGACCGCAGCAATAACAAACACTGGAGGTAGTCTTGCTGTCTCAACCAGAAAAGCCAACTATCTCAACCAGCTTCTCAAACAAAAAACTCAACCAGCTTCTCAAACGAAAAAGTTGTAAGAAAAACTTGCGGCCGTTGAAGGGGCATAGCTTCGTAATGAACAGGTTCCTCCTCCTCCCCCCCCCCCCCTCTCTTTCTTGTTTCTTCTTTTGGAATCCGATGCGTGGGGTTATTTGAAGTTCTTTCCTGTGTCTTGCAGAAGTTGTGGTGAGCAGAAGAAAAGGAGAGGATAGAGAACGGAAAAGAAAAGGGAAAAAAAAAAGAAAGGCTTGGGAAACGATGTGTCTGCTGTTGCGAACGCATCACAGGGGAAGGATAACCCAATGATGAAAGAGAATGACGATGGTGGAAATGAAGAAATGTTAGCATCACCAACTGGCCTAGCTCAGATGGTACACCTGTGAACTGTTGGAATGCAGATCCGAGTTCGAATTCCAGATGAGCAAGTTCAAAGATGATATGTCAAGGCTGTTGCCCCTTTTTAAAAAAATTAAAAAATTTGTTACTGCAAGGAAAATGAGGGAGAGTGATAGGCAGAAAACCAAATTGCAATATCACGCTGTAGACCAGATAGTCGTGTACCAAGTAGAAAGCATAATGCACTGAGATATCAGCCAAATAAGAGCAATATGATGAACTCAAATGTCAATGTCGACACTCTCTCGCCACAGCAACATAGTATCCAATGTCGCTCTTCTCGATTGGCGCACGACGCCCAGCTGACTCTACTCAGCCTATACTAGCCTACACTATGAATATGCAACAGGAGTCACTTGAAGCTGAAGACCGATGTGCGTGACGGCGTCTCCAATGCAGACTGCCAGCATACACCAGGTACGTGCCTCTCCTCCTCTCCGCACCCCCGTCTCCCCACTGCACGCGCCTCCTCACCCGAAGACAACCGTCGCCCACCGACATCCTTGCCAGCAGGCCCGGCTTTGGCCGCTCGTGCCTGCTGTCACCACAGCGGCCCCCTCTCCTCTACCGCCCGCGTGCGCTTCCTGGCCAGCCGGTGCCCAGGCAGCCTCCTAGTCTCAATGCAGCAGCGTGGCTGCCTGGTGGTGCAAAGGCAGAATGTCCTTCTGGCTGGGCACACACTTTCCTTGATGAAAAGTGAGCCCAGCTTCTGGCTGGCCTGGGCCTAGTGTGCGTGTGCCAAGTAGCTTCACGTTGGACCAAAGTGTCTGCGCCCAGGCCCATTCAGACAGTTGCCTGGGCCTCACAGCAGTGACGCTGCCCAACTGTGCGACGCGGCTGCTGTCGCACGCTGCATTCTCATTGGCCTACGGAAGCCCAGCCACGTCGCTCCCTGGTTTCTGACTTTCGGCAAGCCATGTCGATGCTGGATATAGCCGTAAGGCTCAGCGTGTTGTACTCACACAGGCGTGGCCCTGTAACCAACTGGTGCGTGGTAACTGTCTGGCGCTCCCCAATGCAGAAATGACAAAAATAGGGCGTCGTTGCCAAATGCAGGCCCGCCTTCACTTAGGGTGGGCACGAGGCAGTCTGGGGGGGCCTTGGACAGTGGGAGTCCCCGGCCTAGCATCCAGCACGAGGGCTCAATCCTTGCATTACCGTCCGAGGTCTCGTTCTTTCATCCAAGGGTGGTGATGGTTGGATGTCCTGGATTTCCACAGTTCTATCCAACATGGCATGTACCGCATGATTGATTTTTAATCAGTTTGTGGTGCAGAGTCTGCGGACTTTTTTTCTTTATAATTGTGGTAACTACTCTATCTGGGAGTGAATAGATTGACTGTCGATAATCGCTATTATATGCAAAATATTATGTTGTGGTTGATTGTATGGTTGGGATTACTGTTCCCATTTGGCATCAATGCTGGTAGTGCGGCCCAGTCCTCATTGGACTTACGACTGGCAGAATCACGAGTCCCTTAACTAACAGAGTCATGAGAGGTCCTTGAACCCAGCATCTCTCGGATGCATCTCAGGCTACTCAACGGGATTTAGTGGCATACACCTGCCAATCGTGTGTGTGTGTGTGTGTGTGTGTGTGTTGATCGGCTATCTTTGAAATTGGATACATTTCCTCTGCTGTCCATTCTGGCTGTGCTCTTTTCTTTTGCCCGCCTCTATTCTATGCACTTGGCCCATCCTGTTGTACTGTCTGTACTCCTTTCTTTGACCGCCTCCCTTCACTCTCAGATCACCAGCACACTGGTTCCCTCCCTGCCTTCTTGGATGATTTCATGAAGGCGCTGCGATTCCCTCCTATACGTTCGCAGCCACACGTTTTGTTCAGTGCAGTGTGTGTGTGTGTGTGTGTGTGTGTGTGTGTGTGTGTGTGTGTGTGTGTGTGTGTGTGTGTGTGTGTGTGTGTGTGTGAGAGAGAGAGAGAGAGAGA